ATAGTACATTCTTAACCCGATCTTTACTCAGGGTTTCAATATAGTACAGCTCAACCTGATCCTTACTTAGGGTATTAATATAGTACAGGCTTAACCCGATTCTTACTCCGGGTATCAATATAGTGCAGCTCAACCCGATCCTTACTCCGGGTATCAATATCCTACAAGCTCCACCTGATCCTTACTCCGAGTATCAATATAGTACAGCTCAACCCGATCCTTACTCCGAGTATCAATATAGTACAGCTCAACCGATCCTTACTCCGAGTATCAATATAGTACAGCTCAACCCGATCCTTACTCCGGGTATCAATATAGTACAGCTCAACCCGATCCTTACTCCGAGTATCAATATAGTACAGGCTCCCGAGTATCCAGAGCAGGGGATGGAGAGATGTCCAATCATGTTCAGAAATTAAGAAACTTATTTAAAGTTCAGAAGGTTTGCAAAACTTAAAAGTTACCTGATTTACAGCCGATATTCATTAGGCTTTTGTATGAGCAAAAATGATGGAGATATCCTCGGGTTTCTATCTGAAAAGTGATTTTTAACTCAGATAGAAGTTTAGAGGGTGAGGGCATGTACCCTTTTTAGTTTGAAGCTATGTCGACAGTCGAGTTGGGAAAAAGTGGGCGTGTCATTGTGGGGCGGTTTGTTCTATTTGTAAAATGGGGGCGTGTCCGTGAAAGTGTTTAGGACAGGTTCAGGAAGAGATTAACTAATAAAGGGGGGGGGAGGGGGTCGCGGGGGGTGGGGAGGACTGTTTAGAACCAGGAACTATAAAGTCGTGAGAAGATTAAAGATTTCTCCAGGACATTTTCTCCCACCAATGTAACTAAATACACTCGGAGAAATCCTAAACCATCAATATCTTAATCTCATCATTAATTCTTATAATAGCGACAAAATGCCGCGTCTGTCTTAAATTTTAGTCGATCACATGTTTTTTCAAATATTAATTGTTATCCAGTAAATATTTACTTTCCATTCCATAATCAAGTACACATTAATTTTTTAAAATCTAGCTGCTTGTAAAAAACAGGTTCATATTATTGCTACATCTCCTCCTCTCTTGACTATTGGCGCTTTGAATGTATGAATTGATTTTGATTTTAAATAAATTTTACCAATACCAACAACAAGGTATATTGTCTCCTAGCCGAAGTAAAACAAAGTATATTGTCTCCTAGCCAAAGTAAAACAAGGTATATTGTCTCTTAGCCGAAGTAAAACAAGGTATATTGTCTCCTGGCCGAAGTAAAACAAGGTATATTGTCTCCTAGCCGAAGTAAAACAAGGTATATTGTCTCCTGGTCGAAGTAAAACAAGGTATATTGTCTCCTAGCCGAAGTAAAAAAAGTTATATTGTCTCCTAGCCGAAGTAAAACAAGGTATATTGTCTCCTAGTCGAAGTAAAACAAGGTATATTGTCCCCTAGCCGGAGTAAAACAAGGTATATTGTCTCTTAGCCGAAGTAAAACAGGTGTATTGTCTGCTAGCCGAAGTAAAACAAGGTATATTGTCTCCTAGCCGAAGTAAAACAAGGTATATTGTCTCCTAGCCGAATTAAAACAAGGTATATTGTCTCCTAGCCAAAGTAAAACAAAGTATATAGTCTCTTAGCCGAAGTAAAACAAGGTATATTGTCTCCTGGCCGAAGTAAAACAAGCTATATTGTCTCTTAGCCGAAGTAAAACAAGGTATATTGTCTCCTGGTCGAAGTAAAACAAGGTATATTTTCTCCTAGCCGAAGTAAAACAAGGTATATTGTCTCCTAACTTCCTTGTATTGTATTTTAGATGGTAGAGAAGGTTATAGAACTAGTTCAATCCAATAGTTTTATAAAATTTCTCATTTTGAAGTTTAAGGCAAAAAATTTACTAAAAAATGCTCAAAATCCTTAGGATCCTAAGATAAAGAAACTATGACGTCCTAACGTACAGTGGTAGGCGATAATATCAATACAATGAAGACGACTTATTTATTTAAGTTTTGATTGTTAACAAGCTGTTTTCGAAATACAAGTTTACAAGTAATCAAGAGACGTTTTTTTTTGATTGACAGCTTCTCTTGACTTTGATGTTGATGTGTAACAGCTTGATATAAATCAAAATTGAAATCGAAAGTCGTCTTCATTGTATTGATAAAATCGCCTATCACTGTATACAAACTTAAATAATGTACCAAAATCTTAAAAACATTCCATGAAAAACAAAACAAATTTTTTCTTTAAATATTTCATAGAAACTTATTTTAAAGATTAAAAAAATATCTTTCAAGTTTTAGGGAAAAATTGAAAAGAAAAGTTTTCAAAATCTTAAAGAATATGTGTGCAAAGAACTATATAAATAAAGTTTAAATGAATAAAAAAACGTTATTTTTAAGATATAATAAAAACTATACCAAAGTAATCTATATATAACTTAAGAAATGTATCCATCCATTGTTAACAAAATTTCAAGTGACCCTCCATGCAATGTCCGATTCACAACGGTACCATTTAAACATTGATCTGATCAATAATGTGGAAGATATTGTCGTTTGTCTAGTTTTTTAATTCTGATGAGTCCTATATGTTTTCCTGCAGTAGAAATGCGCAACATTTTTGTAGAGAAACCACAATTGAAAATGATCCGTTTACAAAATCCTAAACATTGATATCTAATTCAAACTTGAACAGACAAAACTTTTGTAAGTCGTTTTCAGATTGGTTGCGAAATTGTTGAATATGATCTATTTAATACTACAACTTTTATACAAAATCTGGCATATGCCCTTTTGGTATAATTTTGCCGCAGTTTTATGTCAATTTCTCTAGACAGGAACATCAGATAGATGTCTTATAGGTATCGTTCAAAACCTGATATTCGCAGGTTTCAACCTATACCCCCTTTAATTTTTCCTTTACATTCCCTTTAACATTTAAAATATTCTGAGTAGAAATCACGCAACCTACCACTAGAGAACTCTTCATGTACAACAAAATTAAAGGTTCTGAATACTGTGCTCAAACTCTAATTTTCTAATCCTTATGTCTTTGAAATCTGATGTTGGAGACATCAGATTAAAGAATTCTGAAAAATCTAGATTTTTGAAAAATAAAAAGTTTTTATAAATAAGAATCATTTCAAAATGGAAAATTTGATTTTACAGAAAAAAATATTTCTCAAAGTTGTTTAGATTTGAAATACCTATTTAATCCCAACTAAGGATATTGATAAGGTTTTTTTAAATATAAAAAGCTGTAGCTTAGATGATGAGTTGTCTCTGAATACTATTTTGATTAATCCTGTACTTTGCCCACGGAGCAAAGCATTGGCCCCAATCTTGAGGCCTTGAGTTTGTTTTAATATTATTGTTAAATGTCTGCTATATAATTTCAGCTATTTGTACTTTATAACTAGTCTCTATATAGATATATGTTAATGCATAAATTTGATCTGTGTTACTTGAATATACAGGGTGTCCCACTATAAAATGTGGCACGACTTTCCATGATTTCATAAACATTTTGAAAGGCTGATAAGTTGTAAACCTATTTTTTGATTCGCCCTGTCATTCAAAGGAACCAACTGGACACCCTGTAATTTCTAACTGTATTCATTTCTTTTCCATGTGTTTATTAAACAGCCTGTCACAGATCTTAAATAAGTTTGTGTACTTTATCTAACATAGGAAGTGTCAAAAAAAATGAATTTAAAAAAATCTTGGAATGTGATCGATCATGAAAAACAACCACAATAAGGACATTTTACATAAAAATTTTATCTGAAGGGTCTTTTACATAATTTAAATATATTACTGTCAGAGTTTTAATGACTTTGACCATTGTAGCATCATATACTTTATTTTTGAACATTATACAATGGTAATATAAATATCATGATTTCTTTCCTTGCTCTATACAACTTTATTTGAATATTACTGATATTTAAAACTTAATAAAACATTATTGTTTTATTGTTCAGTTACACGTGTCGACTTTAGAAAGGGGGGGCTAAAGTAATAATTTTATGTAAAATAGTCTTATACAATCATCTTTTTTATGTTAAAAGATACAAATCTCAAGAAAGGGTAAAATAAAATGAAAACTTTAGTTTTCAATCAGAATTCCAGTTTTAGAACAATTATTTCTATCCTTTTAAAGTTTCTAACATTATTTCTAACATTTAAACCGTAGAAGTTTCAATTTTAAGCTTAAAGATATTTGATTTTTTTCATAATTAAAATGCGATAACGTAGAACATGTACACTGTACACTGTATGTCATTAAAATACTTTTAAAGTTTAAATTATCATTGCTAAATTACAATAAAAATGCAAAAATGTCTTTGAATTCTATAATCCTCTTTCTTCAAACATTTTTTTCCTATCTAGCATTTAATAATGAAACATCGTTTTAAATCTGAAAATAACTCTCTTTTATTTTAAAGGATCTGATCCTACAAAATACTGGGTGTTGATGATAAAGAAGAACAATTATAAAGGTGCCGCAGTTTAAATCTAAGAATAGCCAAGGATCATAATTCATCTGACGGTACCCGCGCTTATTGTAGAACCATGTTTTTAATTATTNCGTTACTATGAATAGTATCTAATAATAGGTATTGAAAACTACTAGCTATAAGGGCAACCACCCCTAATTTGCCCCTTGATAAAATATGGTCGGTCTGAGCAGCTTCTTGGAACCTTGATTCAGGTTTTATCTCTTCTCCGGTTCTTAAACCCTGACATATACCTGGAGAAACTATGTTGTTTATTTCAGATAAAACCATTAGTACGTTTCCTTCCTCTATCTGACATTTACAACCAATATTTATGAGAACGATATGTATTATCCACCCCCGCACAACCCGTCCTGGTCAACCCTACTATATCCTAAACCCGGAGTCGAACTCCGAACCTACCCTTCATTCTTCTCCAACTTCCTGTCTTTGTCCAAACAATTCTCACGGTTTTAAACCTAACCCATGGGAAAGAATAATAAGAGTCGGAAAAGTTATAGATTTCAGTTTTTATTATTTAGTATATCTAAGCAAGAGTATTATATATGTGACTATATTTGACAATATGCAAATTCTTTGGTATTCAGCGTGTAATCTCGTGTGTTGTCTAGGTTCGGAGTTCATCTTTACTCCGGGTTCAAGCTCTGACTTGTCTCTCAGATCATGGTTTAGATCTAGGCTCTGTAGGTTCGAATCACGTCTCTGATTGTGGCTCTACACAGGGGGCATTCTCCGGAACTATTAAACTGTTGAACTGCACAGGAGAAGCACATGCACATGTGTCCACAGGAGTAAAGAACACAATCAACATCAGACTCGTAACAAATCACACATTCGTTCTGAACCATACCGGAGTCCTGGGATATATCCAGGGAGGGGAGGGACTGGGGGGAGCAGGATTTAGGTCTAGGGGAGGCTTTGGATGGTCGGACGGATCTCCGGATGGTTGGGGTGTGACTAGTTGGATGAGATGCAGGTGCTACTCCAAGCAGCTGGATCCTCTGTGCAACTCCGTAGATATCAATGAAGGGTCGGGTTGGTATTGAGATATCTGAGTGAAAGATAACCCTATCAGGACCGTTGTTGATGGAACAAAGTACAGCTCCGTCCAGACCCAGAGTAAAACAGATCTCATCTCCCGAGTGGGGGTTGGCCAGAACATCTTTGGAAAGAACCCAGTACTCTGGTCGCTGAAGGAGAAGTTCTGAGTCCTCTGGCAGAGAACTGGAGGTGAGGTTTCTGGGATCAGCTCCGGTTAAACCAAACGCCAAGCTCCCAATGTAAGTGCTTTCCGTTTCTAGAACCCTGATCACTAAACTCTCTCCAGGTTGGAGAGGAGAATCAAGGAAAACGTAACCATTGCAGAACTCAGTATCCGTCCTGGTAGCAATAGAAGCAGTCTGGTTCAAGCTCACGTTTTGACCCACACAACCTCTATGGAAGGCAGCACGAGCTAGCCTCTTAGAGCCATAGTAACTACTCTCAACATAGTTGGGGATCCTACCACAGGATTCAGATCTACGGAGCCTAGGCTCAGGGATCCTTGGAGCCTGGATCCGTTGTGGAGCCGGAGATTTGGGAGCCTGGTTTGAGAGCATGTTATTCAAACTTCTCCTGGGGTCAACTAACTCAATCACATTACTGTTTCCGTATACATCAACTAGTCCCCACAGCTGTCTCCGGGTATCAACTCCGGAGAAAAACACTCCTTTATCCTCTCCGTTTACACCAAACACTACATCTCCACTACTTGTCACGTAGTAGTACATCACTGAATCTTTCTCCGCAAATTTCTCCGCCAAAGCCTTGGCCCAGAACCCGGGTTTATTCGTCAGGTCTGGGCAGGCGTATTTTGGCAAATTTCCGCTCAGCTGCCGCGGATCTACAGCGGAGAACCCGAACCGGATGGATCCGGACCAACTCTCCGACTTCTCAACAAACCGGATGAAGACCTTCTCGTTGATTCTAACAGGTCTGTGAGTGAAGACGACTGCTTTGCAAAAACTCTCAACTCTGAAAATAAAAAATATTAAAAACTTGTTAAATGACTCCCGGTTTCAGGTTTAATGTATGACCGCAATTTACGGTTGTATCCAGGCGTAACTTAAAGCAGCAGAGCGAGACATTACTCCGCTCTACAACATGTTTCCATCCTTGGTTTAATTAATCCAAGATTGGAGACAATAGTCTTTGTACAGACGAGCACACACCAAACCTTTGAAGAGAAAAGAGAGAAAATAGAACAAAAAGTTTTTAAAAAAGAAAAAATCTTAACAAAGATTTTGTCCGACAAAAATATTATAAAGAGAAAATTGTTACCTAGCAGCAATAGTGTTTCCTTGTGTAAGCTGAACATTATCTCCATGTATAGGATGGAACTCTAGAGGTTGTCCTGGAGGACAAATTAACCCTTGCTTATGGCTGAGGCCGATTCTAGCTTTAATTTTCTTTAGAACTTTCATGGTTGATGTCGCGGAGCGAACTAAACCTTAGAGAGTTTAACAGCTGCGCTCTCTCCGATCCGTCCGGCTTACTCCGCGGTACGGGATGTTGCAACTCTCATTCTAAACCTTACAATTCTAACCCATATTCATGTTTATCTGTAAAAAGTGCTTTTTTATCCTAAGCGAAATTTATTTTACTTTTTTATCTCTGTCCACAAAGAATGATTTTTTTCTCCTTTCCAGACAAAAAAAACTTTTTGGTACAATTTTACTAAACAAATTGGAGCCAAATTTATAGTGAATTAAAAAATATTAAAATTAATTATAATTATGGTTTAATAAAAAGATTATTTTTAGTATCAGTTGTATTTTGGGTCTAGAAGTTGCAACTTCTCTTGACAGCCGGCGTACATCTGCTACTACAGCACCAGGTGCCAGACAATGCAGTGGGTTGGGGGGGGGGGGGAAGAAGGGGAAACCGGGAGCTTCGTTATCCGGTCCCTAATATGCCTTGAAAAAGCTTTAGTACTAGAACACGTGAGGTTTGTTAGTACGGATATGATATCACCTTCTATCCTTATCCCTAAACAGATCTTCAATTTTATATCTCTTTGGATAAATTGGATTTCACAATTTTAACTTACTTACATCCATTCTGAGTTTCTAACCCTGATCCTTTTTAATCCGTCCTTGGTTCTACTCCGCATCAACCCTGATTCTTCTGAATCCGTCCTTGTTTTTTATTCTTCTCTACTCAGTATCTAAAACTGATTATTCTCAAATCTTAATCCGTCCTTGTTTCTTATTCTACTCTACTCTGTATCTAACCCAGATCCTTCTGAATCCGTCCTTGATTCTTATTCTACTCTACACTGTATCTAAACCTGATCCTTCTCAATCCGTCCTTGGTTCGTATTCTACTCTACTCTGTATCTAAACCTGATCCTTCTCAATCCGTCCTTGGTTCTCTACACTGTATCTAAACCTGATCCTTCTCAATCCGTCCTTGGTTCGTATTCTACTCTACTCTGTATCTAAACCTGATCCTTCTCAATCCGTCCTTGGTTCTTATTCTACTCTACTCTGTATCTAACCCTGATTCTTCTTAATCCGTCCTTGATTATTATTCTTCTCTACTTAGTATCTAACCCTGATCTTTCTCAATCCATCCTTGATTCTTATTTTAGTCTACTCAGTATCTAACCCTGATCCTTCTAAATCCGTCCTTGGTAATAAGTCTAATCTACTCAGTACCTAACCCTAATCCTTCTCAATACGTCATTGGTACATATTCTAGTCTACTCAGTATCTAACCCTAATCCTTCTGAATCCGTCATTGTTACTTACTCTATTCTACTTAACATCTAACCCTGATCCTTCTTAATCCGTTCTTTTTTCCTACCTAATCTACACAGTGTCAACCATGATCCTTCTTAATCCGTCCGTAGAATCCTTATAGCAAACCCTTAATGGTTCCATGGTTCTTCCTGGATATTACTGATCCTTTGGAACTCCATGTTTGGGGATCAAAAATTGGAAATCTATTGGACAGTTTTTCCTCCTTTTAAATACTTTTTACCCCAAAAAATTGTTTATTTTCCACAATAATACAGGGGGGGGGGGTAAATATTTTGAAAGAGGGGAGAATGTATTTTCAAACAAATTAATACCCCTTTAATGTAAAATAACTTAATATCATTTTTTCAAACTCTTTCTTCTCAGGTTCTTATCCGGTCTTCTCCAGGCCTCCCTTACTCTACGATTTTCTTAATCCAGTCTTAATTATTTATTTTTTTCAAAGTTTCTTTTTGCTGCCGCTGATATTCTGAGATAGTTAATTTGGACAATAGACCTTAAAACGGTTCCAAGTAAGGCATATGCCTAGGATGGGTTGGGGGGAGCTAACGGCTTGGCCTGAAAAGGGTTTAATTTCAAGGTTTTTCTTCTCCTGTCGGCATATACACTAGATTAGGAGAGGTGTCAATTAGGGGCAGGACTGTAAACTAGCGTTGAGATTACCAGTAGCAATACATTACTCTAGACCTCGTGTTTCTCTCTCTTTTTCTTCTTGGTATTTATAACTTTATTTTTCTCCTTACAACACATGCATTTTCTTTTTCCTTAGTTTTTATTAAATTAAATTTTGTATTACCTTGCATCATTTTTATCATTAATGAGAATGCACAAATAATAAGACGCACGTTTTGGACGCATATCTAGGGCTCACTGAGATTGCACATTGCACATACATACATACATAAATATATATATACACATCGCAGCTATATAATATACATATTATAACAGGATATGTTTCTTTCACTTCCATATTATTTCGTACATGTCATATATCTCATCTTTAACTTGTATTCTATCTATCTATCCATCTTTCCGTATATCTATCTATCTATCTATCTATCCATCTTTCCGTCTATCTTTCTATCTATCTTTTCAATTTCCTCATAATATCCCCTACCATAGACTCCCGGTAAGATAACGCCCAATCTTAGAGAGGGGGAGCGTGCCTTCCCCCCTCTCCTCCTTACCCAACAACTCCCTCCCCCCCTTCCGGCACATGTCCGACACACGTACCCCAATGCATTTGCCTGGGGTCATACTGCTTGATACCTCGTAGTTTGGGTTTGTGACTATCAGGACCAAAGAAAAATTATTAAACAGATCTTAGGTTGAAATTAATGATTATTAAGAAGTAGTTGAACTTGGTGTTGCCGAGAATTATTTGGATTTAGTAGTTCAACTATCCATACCTAGTTAAGCTAATTTTCAATATCTTTTAAATTCTACTCAAACCTATGCACTATGCAGTATTCAAGCAGTAAGCATATTATCACAATTCACGCCAATATGAGGTTATGGAGGATGATGTCTGTCTATGTGTTTATTCAATGGTTCTGAGGATATGTAGGATGATGTCTGTCTATGTGTTTAATCTATTATTCTGTGGAAGTGTAGGAAGATGTCTATGTGTTTAAGCTATAGTTTTGTGGATGTTTATGGTGATGTCATAAATATGTGTTTAATCTATGGTTCTGTGAATGTGTATAGATAATGTCTGTCTATGTGTTTACTCAATGGTTCTTTGGATATGTAGGATGATGTCTGTCTATGTGTTTACTCTATGACCCTGAGTGAGGTTTGGTTTGATCTAATTTCTCTCCGGAAGCTTGATTTACAACCTTTACTCATGGTTTCAATTCATCCCGGAGAAATAATCTTCTTCTAGTTTTAAGAAGTTATTGCTGTTCTTCATAAACCTATAATTGTGGCCCCCCTCCCTCTATACTAATTAAACATTTTAAAGGTTTAAGAACCTCTCCATGCAAAGATGTCAACGCCCGATGTACAATGGTACCCTTGAAAGCTTTGTCTGATCAAGTATGAATTAGGTATAAATGTTTTTTTGTTTTTCAAACTGTTTATTTTCATTTGCGATTTCTCTGCGAATTGTTTATAAGAAACATTGGAGAAACTCACAGAAATAAACACTTTTCGAGTCAGAAAATGACAGTATCTTCCACATTTTTGATTCGAATAAAGTTTCAAGGAGACCGTTGTAAATCGGGCATTGCCATCTTTCCATGGAGGGTCACTTTAAATTTCGCTCACAGTCCCTTTAAACCTTTATCTGAATAATTGTGGGGAAATCCTTCCCCCCCCCCCCCATCCCAGTTAGTATTTTGAAGGATGAAGGAAGCAAGTATTATGTTTCCACAATCCACATACATTTACCATGTGCCGGCAGAATGTAAATAGGTATCTCCGATTACACAACTAAATACAACTTTTTCAACGAATTCTCGGCTTCGCTTGCAGATCAAGCATTCCTTGGTTTTTGAACCAGAAGTTGAATTCCAAATTTTCTCCGATCCCGACATAACATTCCACGGTTTTTGTCGCAAACATCATTTGAGATACAGAGATTAAATAGAAGATACAATTAACTAATCTATAGAACTAGATGAACTAGATACAGAGATTAAATAGATAGATGAGATGTCGAGATATATGTGTTTTCATACACTCACATTCCCCGTTCTTTCAGGATAAATTGAAAACAGGTAATCACTGTAAACAAGCTGACATTAGACCCGAGGGATAGATAGATACAGAGGGTCAAGTCACATTTTTGAAATTCCTACCATTGAAAGGAGAATTCAGAATATAGAGTGAGGGGGACACCAATAGTTTAATCAACCTCAATTATAACACTATTGTATTTTTGTACACGCTCCTTTAGTTCTGTTCGTCAGTTCGTGTGTCTGTTTCCGGTCGCTTTACTCCGGAACCAGAGAATTCCCGGATTTAGTTTCACGGTTGCCCGGAGTTGAAGATTTCTTGAATTTTGTAGAGTTTAAACGGACTGTAGACGTATATCAAGTGTTCCTAGTTCCATTTATAGAGTGGCCTGTCCGATTAGTAACATTATCCTTAAAAGACTTCTCTAATCAAGTAAAGAACGAGATATCGTTAAATACTGAGCTTAAAAATTATCATTTTTCTACCAAAGTGACTTGCAGTTATCTGCTGCAGAAACATTGAAGAAAATAAGCAGAATTTATCATTTTTAAAACAGATATACGGCGATATTTTCCTTATTATTCCTCGGATAAAGGTTTAAAGGGTACCATTGTCAATCGGAAATGCCACAATTTTTAATTGAGGGTCTCTTGAAATAACGTTTACAGTCCCTTTAAATTTGTTTTCTAATCAACTTTCTAATTATTCCGAATTTAACATAAAATTTTCTCCTTTATATCTTCAGTTAATCACGGCTCACTCAAATTTTTTTATTTTTTATTTTTCTCTTAAAATTCAATCCCGTAAACTCAACCTTATTCTTCATTTTTCTCCTTAAACTCAACCCTATTCTTCATTTTCTCCTTAAACTCAACCTTTTTCTTTATTTTTCTCTTTAAACTAAATCCTTTTCTTTTTCTCCTATAACTCAACCCTATTCTTCGTATTTCTCCTTAAACTCAACCCTATTCTATATTTTCCCCTTTAACTCAACTTTATTTTTCTCTTTAAACTCAAACTTTTTCTTTATTTTTCTCCTTACACTCAACCCTATTTTATTT